TTTTGTATTTCATATCTTCTATTTAGTTAAAAAAATTAAAACGATCATGGACGATATTCAGATACTTGTTAGCTGGTAACCTAGAAGTCAAATACATCAACAGCTCATAAAGTTTTAGGTGATCTTCCAAATGTGAATTTCTCACTTCTAATATGAAACTTGAACCTTGCATTCTGCAAGTCTTGCTTCTCCCTCATTAACCTTGCAAAATTTTCCGTGATTAACTTTATGCAGAGCCAACTAAAATTTACGCTTACAAGTAACTAGAAGTCTATTTCTAAAACTGGAGCTCTTTTTATTACTCATTTTCAATAACTACCTTTGCTTGATATTGAAAGGATTTGCTAATGTCAAATATCTTTCATATTCGAGTTAAGATAGAAGCTTTATTGAACTGGATAGGATTCAACCTTGGCAACTCATGAGAAGTTGGTTCTGGCATGAGGTTTATGTACTTGTCAAGCGTAGTCATTAAGATTTACAAATTTTTCAAGATTGAGGCTAATGAGGTCTGGTATCCATTCTTGTCAGGAACCTGCTGTCTTATGTGTTCCCAGTGAGTTTGATGATCTTGGCTGCTGGCATGTTGTTATTGAAGGGCCTCAAGGAGCAAGGCCGTCTTGGAAGATTTTTTGGAAAAGTTACAATTCGTGATCAGCCTCCCTCAAATACAATTCAGAAAATTATTGCTGTGAAAGAAGCCATACGTGAAATGGAGAAATATATCCAGAATGTGAATGTTGTACTCCTTAAGATACGATCTATCATTCTTGCGGGGGAACCTCAGGTATGTTGTCTATGTGCATGTGCTAAGCTTGGTCTAATGTGAGACTGCCTGCATGGGAGTTACAACTTTCTGCATTTTCTAATATGACGTGGAGAAATATCTTTCGTTCTGGACTTCCTTTTTGCTCCTTGTTCATGGTCGGGGGCCTCAGGGCAGGGTGACAAGTAATAAATTATACCATTAAAAAATGCTATTCCAAAGGGCAAAAGCATAAGGTAGCAAGAATGTAATAGTATTTTAGCATTAAAAACTATTAAAATCATTGTGAGTTCTCGTCTGTGCTTCAAAAAAGAGGCAATGTGAATTTAGGCTAGGGGGACGGGATTCATCTAATTTAAATTTTACTGATTCTGAAGTGGAACATTAGCTAATATGTCACAAAAATGTTGTTCTAATTTAAGGCATTACGGTCTGGATCTCGATCTGTGAAAGGCCCAGCTTGTGAGTCAGCTTGCCTGGATGAGGTTGTCCTGTCACAGGGTGGCATAAAACAGCACCTTAGCCACTTTACATTTCTAAACCCACACCTTTGCGTCCGCTCTCTCACCCCTGGGCCTCCGCACCGCACCTCCTACCCAACACCCCTCTCCTTTTTTCACACGCCCACGAAGTATTATGAGGTTAAAATGCTTTAGCTGTTTCTCCTAGGCACCCAAGCAGGACATAAATTTCAGGTTTTGTTCATTTTTCGACTTTTCACTAGTGTTTTGCTTCCTTTCCTATTCCATGATCTGAAGGAACACTAAGAGATGCTATAGTGGTATCTTCGCAGCTTTTGGTTTTACTTTGTCTTTTGAAATACTACTGTAATGGTGGAATGGAGTCGGTTCTGAAAACTTAATTACAGCAGCTACAGAAACTTGAACCAAAGAGCTAAGACAATACATGGTGAAATCTGAGTTTGACTTAGTAGATTGAAAGAATAAGACAGTTTGCGTAAAGGAAGTTTAAGAAGTTAAAATGTATGATTGGATTTGCATTATATCATTCATTGTATTGTCAGCTTAAGTGGATCTCTGTGCGTGTGCGTGCGCACCCGTCTTCTTTCTTATAAATCTAATTGAAATTCTTTGCTTAATCTTTTCAGATAACAACAGAGGTCGCTTTGTTGCTACTGTTGGGTTCGACCATTCTACTTATTTTTCCATTCAAATACATTCTGGCTTTTCTCATTTTTGATCTCTTTACAAGGGAGCTTGAGTTTAGAAGACAAATGGTTTTGAAGTTCATGAGCTTTCTTAAGGAGCGCTGGGACACCGTGCCTGCAGCTCCTGTTGTTGTATTGCCATTCGAAGAAAAAGAATCTCCTGCCTCAATTCAGAAGCACAAAATGAATCACACGGTGAAATCAGAAAAAAACCCGGAGCGTTAATTAACCCGAATAGGTTTGATATTGCAGAGATGTTCTCTTTTTCTTCTGTTTTTGTTTTTCCCTTTGCCATTTTCTTGATGCATCTTTTTATGTACTCTCCCAGGATTTACTTCGTATACATCGTCGTTGTTGAAAGAAGAAGCACGTAAGAATCAATGTAAAAAGCATTTGAACAACGGACTTAGATTGTTCTTTGCATTCATGAGGGCCACAACAGTAAAGCAAAATTGCCAGAACAGTGAATAACCTATATCGAAATTATGAAAATTTTGCGGTTGACAGAATCAAATCAAAACATGACTGGTAAGCTGATTGCTGCTGGCAATGCCATCACCCAAAGCTTCCACATTTTGGAGAGTACCTCAAATCTACCAACTGATCCATTACAAGTAAGCTGTTTGTCATGATATGTGCAAGCTGTTTGATTCCTAGTCACAACCCAGAAAAGGTTAGCAGATATTTGATTATCCTAGATTTCATGTAGCCAAGATGAAGGTGTGCTGATCTTTAAAAGCTTGTGTGGTGCACGTTAGACCCAGGATTTTTACTTTTTTTCTTCTTTAGTACTATCTAGTACTGTTATGAACAAAATATGTTCCATATTTTTTAAGAAGATTTTGTTTCCATACCTTGAGGAACAAAATGTCACAGTGTAATCTGTGGTACTGCAAGTGATGATACTTGTAGGGTCATCATAAGCAAAGCTATAGGCTGCAGGACATGCAGTTTTGAATATTCTTGAATAATTTGTAGGCACACATGCTATGGGTGTGGAAAATGTACCCCTACAGCAATACTCATCAGTTTTGAATACATTACACGCACTTTGGCAAGCAATGATCTTATCATTAGTCTTGGCAGTAAGTTCCGGCGGGCAATTTGGTCGTAAATCGTTGTCACAGCCGACCGGTTGGCAATTTCCTTTGCCATTGACAGGTTTTACCACTATAGGCAAGTTGAACCCATCAACATGGCTAACATCGTAATAATCAGTATTTCCAAGGGTAAATTCGGCAATTGAGGCAGGAGGCTGGCCGGGCCCGGTACATTTAAGTGTACTTCCACAGCCACCTGTTTGGCACGTGCCATTTTCATTATTGTCGAAATTGCAACCTGTACGAGCCCATATCCGGCCGTTCCACCCGGATGGGGCTGTAAAGATGGCAGATTGGGTTGGTTTCAAAGCAAAGCCTCCACCAGTGTAGTTGTTACTTGCAGTTATTCCTGGCCATATGGTCTCTTTGCAGTAATTTATGATGGTAAAATTTGTGCACTTGAACAATCTTATCCCTGTTAACATGCAAAAGAACAAACAAGTTTTTGAGGGTACGATCATTTCAATCTCAACGGTCATATTCATAACTAAAATTTTATTCTCAATAAATTTGAAGTCGAAAAATATGGAGAAGGATAGTAAATTACCTAATAAGAGGAGGGAAAAAAATGTTACCTGATGCTATTATAAGCAAGATGAACCAGTGTGTGAGTACTGTACTTGAAATGACCATTGCTAACCTTAATACACTACTTAGTACTAGTTTTTGTTGGTACTAAGTAACTGGAAGTGATTGTGTTTAGAGTTGCATGTACATTTGAGTAAATATAATGGAAGTATAGAACTATAGAAGAATGCGTGTGGAAGGGAGTGAATACACAGAAAGTGTGGCCAACCAGAAATGCTTCCTTTCTTCTCACATAATCAAGGGATTCCTTACCCTCTCTCGGCATTTTCCATCGATGCAAATCTTTTTGCATAATCTTCTCTTTTTCCCTTCGGTTTTCAATTTGTTTATTTGATTCAGGTCAAGAACCAAATTATCGTGCAACGCATAAAGTTGGTTTGGAACAAGAAACTGTTTACCTTGCTATAATCTTTTTTATAATTTTCCCACTTTGTCCAATTAAGAGAGACTTCAGCAAGATCTTTCAACACTAAGAAATAATTGAAAGCCATTTACTATAGAAATTTCATGGTCCCAAAAAGGAAGAAATTTAAGACAATTAAGCAGAAATTCACAGAGGAACTGTTTTACAGGAGGGGTGAAAAAGAAGATCAATCCGTATTCCAAAAATTTATTGTTACAATCATCAAAAGCCAAATTTGGAGCGCAATGCGCTAATAAATGAATATTGCCAAGTATCACCAGTCATACAGTTACACGCCGCCTGGCCTGCGATCATGTGGCAGGACTTCCACAAGGTTTATCATCAAATTATGTCCCAATCGGCTTCTATTGAGGGCATGTCTGTTAGTAGCTATATCGCTACAAAATTGAAGAGTTGATGACAATGGAATGAAACTTAAACCTGCCTCAACTTGTTGCGACCTTTTTCCGAACAATTCTCTTTCTTCGAGCCTTGGGGGGAGGCGCCTCACCATCTACGATATAGTCACTTTGACCTTGTTTAAGTCCAAGAAGTCCGAGCCCAGAAACAATAGCATTCTTGGATATGAACCACTTTGAAGAAGGCTGATTGACCCCTTCAGCTGGTCTACTGTAAGCCTTCTTCAAGAGATCGTCTGAATTAGCCAATGGATCAACCTCCACCCCAAGCCAAGCCAACCTTGACGTCTCTCCTAGTTGAACATTCAGTACCCTGCATGCATTTGAAACTCTGATTTTCTACCATACGAGCTGCAGCCAAAATTGTAAAGTGCAAAAGCATGATAATTGAAAGGCTCTAAATTACTGGTTTAGTAGCAACATCTCAAATTTCTCTTCGAGTGGGGAAAATGGCCTCAGGAAATTATCAAAAGCATAGCCAACAAATTTGATCTTCACCATTAAAATCAAGCATGCCACAAGAAGAAAAAAGATAACTAAAGGAAATCAATCTGGCGAATGGTTAAAATGGCTGAACGTGCTTCATCCTGGAATGGGAAAATTTGCAAATGCAACCTACCAAGATCAAATGACCGAGAAAACATACCTCAGGGCTGTGCTAAAGAACAGAGCTACTCCAATAACATCAAAGTAGCTGGTAACTGCTCTGTCAAAACCACACAGCATTTGATATCGTAAATTTGCATATAGGCCAAGGAAAGCTCCATAACCGAGTGCATTGGTGCTCACAGATGGAATGGTCACAGATAACCTACAAAACCAACAATTTCCAGATTACATGGTAAAATGTGTTGGCAAGAATGTTACATGTACAGTGTACCAAACAAATTTTACCTTCCCTCCTTCTTATGGGCAACAAGGTTGGACGCAGCACCCTGTGCAGCTCCGGCAGTGAATCCAACCATACACAACTCTGCGGCTTTGTAGAAAAAAGAATGAAGTCTCCTCTGGAAGTCAAATTCTCTAAGTGGATAGCTCTTCTCAAAGATATTATTTGGGAGTTTTTGCAGTGTGTTCTGCAAATCAAAACGGAAGGTATTTCCATATGAACGACATGGAGCAAGTGACCAAACCACCATGGCATTGCAAGCTGTCACCGTAAGCACATTAATAAGCGCAAGATCCCATTCCTGCTTTATCCTGCATTGAAGTGACATGTTTATCGAGCTAAGAAGGCAAGTAAACACACTGTTGGTTTATTCCTTCCTAATAGAAACCATAAAATGAGACCTCTCTTTGCGATTCTTGATTTCCCACCAAGTGGAGCAACCAATAGTAGTTGCCTGCTCAAGCAGCACCCTGAATAAAAAGGCAGGATCTGCAATCATCCTGTACAGACAAAGAAGATTGAGATAAATATTTGGTAATGTTTCAGAAAGAAGAATGCTCCCAAAAATCTAGTTCTAAACGTATAATCTGTAGAAAGAAAATAAAAATAAAATACATTGCAAAAATGCTGTACAGCATACAGATTTAAATGAGTTGAACAACTGCATGGAATGTCTGCTAACATAACTAGCCACAGCAAACTTTGATGAATTATAAGAATTTTGGGTCACCGTTCGCTTTCTCAGTAGCAAAAGCGCTTCTCTTTTCTCTTTAAGTAGAAGGACAATAAAGATATTATTGGTTTTCTTGCTCCTTATCTGCACTCATCAAGCCAACTTTTCTTTTTGGGATGTGAAAGAGCGGTTGAAGCAGACATTTCAAATATGTCCATTATGGAAACAAATGATTGCATACACACTAGGACAAATCCAATTTTTTGATAATTACCTTCTTTTTGGTGATTCTTTGTTCAAATAAAGAGGATTATAAAGAATAAACTTCTTAGAGCTACATAAATAGTCTCATTACAAAGTCTTCATAGAGAGCTTCTGGTAATGGGAAAAATATCCAAACGTTCGATTAGGAAAGTATAATCGGCCTCTTCATCCAGTGGACTGGATGTTATCATAGCCAAAGTCACTATCGTCGCCAAGTTTTCTTACATACCATTTTGGAACATGAATCTAGAACTGCTACCCCAATGACAAACAAAACCCTAAGTATACTGTTATATTAACAGTTTAGGTATACATATGATTATAATTCAAAGTCATTCTCCTAGAATCAGGAGATTATATGCACCAGCTGAGTTAAAAACCATACAGGCTGGATCTCCATCTTAAGCATTCTAATTTCAGAAACATATTTACATCTTAACATCAAAATAATTATTGTGCTCTGAACTTGCAACACACAATTGTGCATTCCTATCAAAGATTCTCGTGTCATAAATATATTTCTTCCATACCAGTCCATCACAAGCTTCAGCCTTCATACACCACTAGAATCTAATATGCATCATTCATAAGCAACCAACCTTAATCGTATTAATTTGAAACCAATTCGATGTAAAATCAACTGATCTACATTGAGGGGGAGGAAAGATGGTAACAGGATTTAGATCCTCAATGTCTACAAGTCAGCATATGGAGGTTCTAAATTTACCTGCCAATAAAAGCCCTAGATATTCCAGGCGGAAGTGCCCTGGATATGAACCTCTCAGTTGTAGGCCTCGCATTGATTGCTACAAATCTCACCATTTGAGCAGAGCTGACCAAACCCTAAAGGCAATTGCATTTCTGAGTCCAGTCATCAAGTAATTACACAGAAGAAAGTACAAGAAAAAGGCAAAACATTACCATTTCATAAGCTTGACGTAATCCAACGGGCAAATCCATCATTGTCTTTTGCCACTCATTCAATACAGCGTCAATAAATTTCCGATCAAACAACTGACAAAGAACATAAAGCATTACTAATCTAAAAATATGTTAGATAAAATAATTGGAATAAATTACACAAACATATAGGCATTGCCATGTAAGTGTGTGGCTGTCTCTTGCATCAGTTTGTTACCTCTGGCAGAACAATTCGCCGTCTAAACAGTCCACCCTCATCTCCCTCATCGCCCTCATCAAAGTCATCAAAGTAATCATCATCATCGCCACCATCATCGCCACCATCACCGCCACCATGACTAAGCCCCTTGCCCATATTACCGCCTCCTCCCCCAGTAGAAAGCTGTCATGTTGTCACATCATAAGAAAAATAACTTATCAAAAGAGTTATCAGATTAAAGCCCCTATCGGCCTATCCTAAAGGAAAAAGTAATGAATTTCAAATAAGTTGGGCTGAGAAATGTGGGATGTGTTTAGTTATCACACAGTCTAGTCTAATCAGATCCCCAGACCTTCTACAGATACTCCATTTATTGCACAGTATCATTATGGACTTCTCATTCTTGTACACAAGTGTATATCCACCGGAAGTTATAATTGGTACTTAATTATTATTTCCAAGACTTGAAATCCAAAAGATTCGCATTTTTGAATATCATACTCCGAAAGGAGGATATGCATCAATTGCTAATACCCAATATAACACACAGCATCCTGGAAGCAAAAAATGACGCTCTAGGCCCCCCATGAATCTTGAGCACATTATCCCTTTACTACCTTGACGAAATAGAGACGTTGTGTGTGTGTTGGGAAAAATAAAAAGAACAAGGTAAAAACTTCAATGTTTAGATGATGAGATCATCTGTGGAGCACAGCCTGAAAAGTCCGTGACTATCTCAGACAAGTTTGAGAAAACCTCAAGTTAGAATTTGTTTTATATAATGAATTAGTGGATTAAGAGTCTTAGAGGATTATCATAGGCTCGAAGTATAAAAATACAGAAAATTACAAATTTTCCTACTTCAAACTCTAAGGCCCCAATCCCTGGCCAAAACAGGGATCCTACCACATTATTTTCCATGAAAACTCACATCCCAGAAAAAGGGTACCAAAGCTCCAAACAATATCAATGAAAAGCACGTCACATTATCTCGCTGAAAAGGTTGACGAGGAAAGAGTAGAATCAAAGGGATAATGCACTTTCCTGGAGATGTTTCAGAACTGCTTTGTCAAGCAAATAAATTGTAAAGTTGTTTCTTGAGTGTTAATTCTAAAACAGCATCAAGTACCTTCAGACAGTCCAAAACAAAAGGTAAAATCTGCCTTCTGATAGTTTCCTTATCCAGATTAAGTTTGTAAAATGCACAAACTAAAATAAAAAACCTGGCTGCTTTTTTATCAATTTTTGCGAAAGAAATATGAGCCCTTAAATTTCCAATATGCACGTTTCAATGGCTTCAAAGCAAAATGGAAATATACCCATCATTTTTTTGACCACCACAATTATCAATATATGTACATAAAAGTACCTCGGGACTAGACTTCGTTTGCTTTTGCGTCAAATCAAGCTTCGATTTTTCCAAAGTAACAGCACCAAACGCGCCGTACTGCCCTCCCTTCATAACCGGTCCGAAGTCCAGAGAACCAGAAGGCGAAGGCGACGGAACATCACGAGCAGGCGAAGTCTGAAAACACCGCTCGAGGCCAGCAATAACATCACCATCAACCACCGCCGAGGACGCCTTTATTGTGAAAGAAGACTTACGGAGCTTAACAGCGATAGGAGGAGCCACCGGTGGCCTTTCAAGACCGGCTGGCAACGAGGGTTTGGATGATAAGGTTTTGGTGATAGGGGCGATGGGCATGATTTGCGCTGTTTGGAACACTATGTGAGACATTTTGGTACAGAATTTCTTGGATTAAAATTCAGGGTTCAGAATTTCATAGAGAAATCTGTATGGGAAAATGGAGATCTTTCTTTTTTTTTTCCTTTTTTTTTTGTTTTTGTTTTGTTTTTACGCTTCCTCTCTCAGAGTGAGAGTTAAGAGCGACGGTAGAGGAAGAAGGAAATTAGGGGTGAGGATGGGGTTAACGTTTGGATGGGACTCCGAGGTGGGTTTGGGTTGTGTTTCCGTGGGGTAATTTTTTAAAAAGCTGGAAAATTGTTCATTTTTTTCATAATGGCCTTTTTTATTAAAAATATTATTTTACCCTTACTATAGTTATTTGTAAGATGTATTTTATATCTTTAGTGATTTATCAATCAGGACCTATATTTATATTTTTTAACCTTTCAAACACCTTTAAATATTCTTTGTATCTTGATAGTTCTTCAAAAATTATAGGTTGATCTTTCTTGGTTATATATCCTCGAACTAATCCTTATGAAATTTCTTCTTGTATATTTCTATGTTTGGTTATAATATCTTCTACCTTTCTTATCTCTCTACTAGTTCCTACAGAATCAAATCTTATATTGTTTCTACAATTATAATCTATATCTCTATATATTTCTTCAATTTTTTCTTTACCAACAGAAAATATATCTTCAGATTTTTCATCTAATTTAAATAAAAACGAAACATCTTGTTCATCTAAAAATAAAATAAGATTATTATCATCATTAGTAGTGAAAGTGGATGCTTGTGAATTGTTCATCAAAAAAATTAAAGCATAAGCATGTAAAAACAAGTAAATAACTTACAGTAATCAAGTGGAAGTAAACAGGCTTTCCCTCCAGTATGCTCTTATAGATGATTTGCACTACTTAATCAATTTTTTGAATCAAGTAAAGATTTAAAATGTTTTTGAAATTATTTGTGTCCACAACTGCTTCCGCAAAAGACTTTTCAATTAAGGTTGCATTTCTCACCCTAGAGAACTAGCCGTATTTCCACAGGTGCTATCTCACAGTATCTAGAGTCCATGTTTTTACCTCCATCCAAACTCTTTTCAGAATCAAGTTCTTATTTGGAACGAAATTTTAAAAGATAACTCACACACAAGGTGCTATAATTTTGTTAGAAAACTGCCTTTTTTCCCTAAACAATTCATCAAAGACGGGTACTTTGGCATGGCTAACATCCATTCAAAATCGATGTTTTGAAAATCCTTTAAAATCTCTATCTGTACTGCCGAGGAATCATGAGAAATTTAACGAAATCCTTTTGTGAAAGCTTTGTTAAACATAACAAATTTTACTTTGATATTTATAAACTGAAATTGTACATGCTTACAAACTATATTTACATACATTTGGTACTCACCTTATGAAATTTAGAACTCCATAAGTAATTACCTTATTACACGCTTTACTATCTTCAAGCTATCTAATATTTTTTTGAATACAAGTGGTGTAAACAGATTACAAAATATCTATCTCTAAGATCTGTTTCTTCAAAGTGTTTAAGAGATAAGTTATTTCGAGATATCTTTCTTCTTCCTCATTGCTTCCTTTTATAGAAGCCTTTGGGAATCTTATCTTGACAGATGTTTTCTACCTCTCTTTGTTGGGTAGCTAGACCATCTTATCTCCACCGAATTTTTTCATTATCTTCTTGCTAGTGGACCTCTCCTTTTGAAATTAGATGCCTTATCTTTTTAGTTTGTCTGCCACACGTAACAATTGGTGGGGAAAAGTCACAATTATGGAGACTTTTCTTGCACTATCTTCTGTCTTTTAGTAGCCACAATTTTTCTTTAATAAATTTCTTTATTAAAATAGTGATAAAGGGCTACTTTTGTCACCATCACTTTTTCATTTTCGAATCAAATAATTCTGCATGGAATTCTTCACTATTAAGAGATGCTTGATTCGTATCTTCAACAACACAGTATTCACAATGGTGATCACTGTAGTTCCAGAATAATTTGCATAGTTCTTTAGCCATATCTTCTGATCCATGTACTTGGTTGGAAATAATTGCAGATAATAAATGATCGAGATAACAAATATATTCTTCTTTGGTGGCCATCCTTGCATTGGAATAGATAATATGATCTTCAAATGGATAAACCTATATTTTTTCTTTCTCAGTAATTATCTGAGTTACATGTTCAAATATCTCTTTGTACCCTTTTGCTCTTCTGTAGGACGTCATATTTAGAATATCTTAATAACCATTTTTAACAACCTTTTGATTAGTTGATAAAAAATGTTGATTTGTAAGTCTCATTTTTATCACATAGAACGATGAATGCATATACTCAAGAACAGGATCTCATTCTATGGTTGTTGAATAGAATCTGACATATATATTTGTTGTCTTGACGATTTCAGTATATCTTTTAACAGCTTTCCTGATGTTGGCTGGAAGCTGAACTATTTCTTTGAGATCTTTGCTAGGATATATACAAAGTATATTTCCTATCTCAAAACAATTTTGAACCCAGTTGGCTGGTGCTCCTGGATAAAAATTTATCTTGTTGTATGTTGAATAGTGGAGAGTCTTCATCCACTTTCCAATCTCCAGATACCAATCTGATAAAATATTGAAAATAACAATAAAAAGTGTTACTTCTTCATGATTATCTTTTCTGGAAATTTTTGTTTCATGGCATATTTTGACAATATCTTTTGGATCTATCATTTCAATAGAAAGTTTAGATTCAGTTTGGCTCTGTGAAGAGCTACCTTCTCTTTTGATATCTTGAATATCTTCATTACCAGTAATAGGTTCAAATTTTCCCTGTGAGGGGGTTCCTATTACCTTCTTTTCTTTCTCTTTATCTTCGGGGAGAGCGCTAATATTTACAAGTCCCTGCGAAGGGATACTAGACTTGGTACAAGTAACTTCTGCCTCAAGGGCTATATTTTTGCCTCGAAGGCTATCTTGGATATTTTGAATTTGTGTTTCCAAATAGGAAACTTTTATCTCAAGTATTTGGACTTTTGTCCTTAATTGTTCTAGCTCCATCCCTGCTAAGATAATCAGGAAAAAAGTTAGTTTTACCTTTTATGTATTCAATATCAAATTTGAAATATGAGAACCAAATTTATATCCTAATAATATATTTATTGGTAATAGATGGATCAATATTATTTTTTAGAAAGGCTTTAACTTGAGTATTATCAGTTCTAATCAATAACTTCTTTGGTAATAAATAATCTTCATATTTTTGAACTCCTCTTTTTATAGAAATGAGTTCTTTTCTATTCGTTTCATATCTTATTTCAACTTCTTTAAATGTTCCTGATGTATAACCTGCAAGTATCTCAGGACAAGAACAATCTTTTTCACATTTATATTATTTATGATTCTTTTTAACCTTTAATACTGCTCCCCAGTAATAATCTGAAGTATCAGTTTCAATGATAAAGAAATATTCTTCTTGTGGTATTATAAGTTTGGGCAATACCTTTAATTCTTCTTTAACTTTCCTTATATTTTCACAATCTTGCTCTTCCCAAGACCACGTTATATTTTTTCTTAATTTTGGAAGAAAATAATTTTTCAATTTGGCACAATTTTCAATGAATCATTAAGCATAATTTAATATATCAAGGAAGCTTTGTAATTATTTTTTATCTTTTATTTTTTCAGGAAATTCTTAAAACTTTTCTCCAATATGAGATTGCAATTGCAATTCTCCTTCTTTTATAAATAATCCTAAAAATTCTATTTCTATTTTAGCTATCTCAACTTTCTTTTGAGAAAGTGTAATACCATGTTTTTTCATAATATAACAAAATTTCTCAAGATGTTCAATATGTTCATTAATATTATTTGAATGAATAAGTAAATAATCTACATCTACAATACAGAAATGAGTAATTGGTTTGATTCCCTCATTCATTCTCTTTTGAAATATTTGTGGTGCATTTTTCAACTCAAATGGCATTACATTCCATTCGTATTGTCCTAAAGGATTGGAGGTACTAAATGCAGTTAGTGGTTTACTTTCTTCTGTAAGCATGATTTGCCAAAACCCCGACTTACAATCAAATTTTGAAAATATCTTTTTGTTCTATACTTGTTTAATAAGGGTATCCTTATTGGGCAAGTAGTATCCATCAAATTTAGTAACTTCATTTAATTTTTTGTAATTTATCACCATTCTGTCTTTTCCTCTTTTTATCTCACTATATTTTCTAACCATAAAGGTTGGGCTGCTATGTGGACTTTTACTAGGCCTAATTAACTTGGCTTCTAGCAATTCTTTTTGGTTATCTACACTATATTTCATGGGTTTGACTCTAACAATAGTGTCTGGATTGGTTATTTCTACCTTTGCCTTTACTTTATCAGTGTTCCATTTTTCTAACGGATTTTCAGAATATGTTTTAAAAATTTCATTTTTCAATTTTTCTAACATATTTTTTGTCGTCATTTTTAAGACTGTAACTGATTTAAATTTTTCTGTACTCCAATATCCACCACGCTGGGTTGAGGAACTCTGATGGTTTATATCTGTATATACAATTGTAACAGCTTTATTTATTTTTGGTGTAAATATTTTATGTGCACAAGGTGTTGTGAACATATACTTATCAACATATTGTGTAAATGGTGCATATTTTAATAGAAAATTTTGTCCTAATAAAATATCACATCCAATTGTGGTTGACATGTATATTATATCAACAAATACTTTTCTAAAAGAAATTAGAAAAGGTACTTGCGTAGCATATTTGCTGTATATTACCTTATTTCCACCTGCTGTTGTAGCGGTGACTATCTTTTTTGAATTGTATATCCAGTATTCAGATGGTAGTACATTTGGTAAGTACAAGCTTATTGTACTTCCTGTATCTAAGTAAGCATGAAATTTAATTCTACAATAACTTTTTATATTAAGTGTAATTTCAATATGTGGACTCATGGGATTAGTACTTATCACTCTTTTCATGATAACAATGATTTCATATTTTCATCTATTCTTGGTATGATAATTGGGTTATCATCAACTCTTATTTTTAAATATCCTTGGCAGATTTTATAAGGACCGTATTTCTCAATAAATTTCATTCCTAATAGAATAGGTGAACGATCGACTCCATATAATTCATCTTTATATAGAATTATTTCTTTAGTATATTCTTTTTTATCCTCTCCTATAAGTATAAGAGGGAACTTAACATATTTTCTTATTTCAAGATTATTTTC